GGGCTGGTCAATTCGGAGTGGGGGCCAATTAGTGGTGGGCTGTATGCCAGACATCTCACTCGTTGGCTCCAGTACTTCCCTCGTTCCAGCATCCATGTCGTTAGCGGAGAAAACCTCATCATGGATCCTGCCGCGGAGCTCTGTAGGGTTCAGGTCAGTAGGTGGGTGGGTGACCATTCACTCACCACTTATTTTTTAAGTTATGTCAGCCTGAGTTTCTAGTTTGTATAGGCACCTTTTTTTTTGTAGGACTAGGTTAACCACTCTCAGGCAATCAAGGAAAACAGAGTCAACCTACGTTTCATCATTTGATCAGAAAAGTCTAATATGTTGAGTATTATTTTCTTTCACTGAAAGGAAACTGGTGTTTTAAGATCATGAACTATCTTTCTTAAAGGTTCCAAAAACTGTTTCTTTACCAATCTCTCTCTCTAGCACCTTGCTAATTGGTCACTAATGAAATTGGCCTTCAGGTAAGTGCCTTTTTTCTTCCTCCTTTACCGTAAATTGGGACTACATTGGTTGTCTTCCATGTCTCTGAATGTGTATTAGTTTGAGTAATGAGTTAGAGAATATTACGAAAATGGAGGTACAGAACCATGTTGCTTTTTCAGAAACCATAGTGAGATTTCCTCTGATCCCAGAAACTTCATTCTGTTCACCTCTATTAATTGTCTCATCGCTTCGTCTATTTTGATCTATTCCTCCAGTTCTATTTAGAGATTTGGCTCTAATACACTTGATGGAATGTTTCGTTAAACAATTCACACACTTTCTTGTCATTTTCTGACTTCTCAGATCTCCAAAAAAATTCTACCATACCTGAAAGACCTTTCAAACCTCGATCAAATAATTATATTAAGCTAATGCAGCAAAATAGATCTTCACAGAATCTAAATTGATGCTGAAGTACAGATTATATTATTCTTCACTGACGTACAGAGTGCGCATGAAACAGCGCCAGGCAGGTGGTGCATTGGTAACACCTTCCCTGACTCTCACCAGTGCGGTAGCTTACTTTGCATATGAATTTGTCAGTCCCTAAAGGGGTTTGTTTAGGGTTTCCGCTCATTCTCTTAATACCTAAGATGAGGCTTTGGTGCGCCTCGTCAATTTTTGTTATATTCAATTCTATCAGTTGCTTTCTAGTTTAATGCTGGTTCAATCACCTTCTTTCTCACATCAATCACCATCTCCTAACATTAATCACCATCTCCTAACATTAATCACCATCTCCTAACATCAACCACCATCTCCTAACATTAATCACCATCTCCTAACATTAATCACCATCTCCTAACATCAACCACCATCTCCTAACATCAACCACCATCTCCTAACATCAACCACCATCTCCTAACATCAACCACCATCTCCTAACATCAACCACCATCTGGTACCTTCGCGGTGACAGAAATTATTGAGTACTATAACTTAAAAGACAGTTCTGTCCTCTCTTTGTTTCTTAATGCTCCCGCAGCTCTTGTGCCTTGAACCCCAACACACACACACAAACACACCAGACACACACACACACACACACACACACACACACACACAGCACTAAGACCCAACTCTTATCTTCCGCAGGAGTTCTTGGGCCTCCGAAGAGTGATTACCGACAAACATTTCTTCTTCAACGCCACCAAAGGCTTCCCGTGTCTCGTGAAGCGCGAGAAGACCGGCCGCCCCCAATGTCTCGGCTCCTCTAAGGGTCGTTCCCACCCTCCAGTCTCTCAAACTACCTACAACATCCTTAGGGACTTCTACAGGCCCTTCAACTTCAAGTTCTACAAGATGGTCGGCCACAACTTTCACTGGTAGCTCATCAAATGCTCAACGAAAATCATCGTTCGCCATCGGCAAAGGAGAATTTGCTGTGTATATATGTATCTCTTTATACATATAAGTTACATATGGAGGAAGTTGTTGACTATATGTATTGACGAGTTATTGGGTTATTGACAAGTGTATTTTGTGTTCAGTGTTGTCAACTTATATTGTATGTTAATACAATAGGATAGTTAATACAATAGGATACATTGAGGATTTGGTCGAGTGATGTCGAGTCATTTGCATCCAATGATGGTTGATATCTCTCGTGTGGCTGAGGTGATGGCTGCCAGGTGTGGCCCACCAATGAGGGCCCTGACGAGCACCAGAGGGCCCTGATGAACACCAGAGGGCCCTTACGAGCACTAAGGGCCCCCTAACGAGCACAACAGGTGTCCATAGAGAGCACTAAAGGGCCCCTAACGAGCAGTATAGGGTCCGTAAAGAGCACCAGAGGGCCCTTGACGAACACCAAAGGGCTCTGACGAGCACCAGAGGGCTCTGACGAGCACCAGAGGGCCTTGACGAGCACCAGAGGGCCTTGACGAGCACCAGAGGGCCCTGACGAGAACGGGTCCAACTACCACTCACAGCATGAGTATGGGGTATGAATAATGAGTGAACTAGACTGCAGAACTGACCTTAGCATAACCACACCCCCCCAACACCTCCCACTTCTCCATGGGGGGACCTCTGATCACAGCTTTCTCTCCCACACATACACCAGGGGAGGACCAAGGCAGCTGCCCGCCAGACTCTGAGTGCAGACGTGCCCATCAGACAACAGGTAACACTCAGGTTACACAAGCTTCAGCAGTACATTATAGCCAATCAATCGGCTCACAAATGATCTCATGTTAGATGGCCACAACAAATGACCTTAAGAGGTGATTAGCTAACTTGGCTTCGTCGGGGACAGGGAGACTGTGTGTATATATGTATACGTTAGGCTCATATCGAGGTCTCCCTTAAGGTCCAACTACTGACCCTTCCCTGGATGCAACCCTTCAAGATGATACACTCCCGGGTACCTATTTAAGTGCTAGGTGAACAGGTGCATGAGGTGATAGGAAACATAGCCCCCCCGCCCTCCCAACCATTTCTGTCTAGCACGGTTTTCCAGATTGTGAGCCGAGAACGAATCCTACTGTACTACGGAGACCCTCAAGGCTAAAATTGGGTATTAATTATAACGAGGTTACGAGCACCTAGTTAGTACGAAGTGGTCTTAACGAGACGATGTGAACAATGACCCTTATACCACCAGTATGTAAAGCCGAGTCTCCTGTACCTACACGGTATATGTACATACATACATATATGTACATACAGCCCACTGTATGGTAAAGTCCAGTGAACTGTACTTTACTGTTAAACTGTTTCACCGTAACTGTGAAAAAATATGTATTTTTGTGAAGAGATAAACAAATATGATAGTAAAATATTAGATGGATAATTAATATGTAGAAACTGGTAATAACTATGTGTAGCCACTGTGTGCTGAGGGTACATATACGACTTTTATAAAACGTTCATTTGAACAACTAATTGTAGTTCACCGGCAATTAGGTCTCCATGTTGTCTGTGTTGAACTAATGATAGAGTGGTTAACACTACCTTACCTTGAGGTTACCTTGAGGTGCTTCCGGGGCTTAGCGTCCCCGCGGCCCGGTCGTCAACCAGGCCTCCTGGTTGCCACTAGGCCCAAAATGTTTGACCAATCTCTCTCTCTCTCGCTCTTGGACAGTACAAGCTAATATTTTTTGTTGTAAATGAAACACAAACACAGTTATTTATACAAAAATAATAACTTTAGTCACTGTAAACATATTATATCCCCTAGATCACCCTTATATATATTGATTTATTTCACTTGATTCAGAATTTAGTAATATGTTTTCTCCTAAGATAACCATAACAGAACTGTCGTGTTATCGTTGTTAAAATCCATGTTAAGATAACTAGAAGAAAGAGTTTTGTAACTTTAGATTTTAGCTTAATATGGAGTCACATAACCTCAAATCTATTTGGTGCTACGGATGAACAAAAGATATACCTGCTATAGATTGGTTTTCAACCCTCTCTTGAAACCCTTCAACCCCACTTCGTGGCAGATAACAATGGATAATACGACCTTTAAGTGGATTATGCTGTAACTAATCTAGGTATATATATACCTAGATAAGTTTATATACCTATACATATCTAGGTATAAAGGTGTATTTACATCTTAACACCAAGGTGTAAAATTCTTGTACACCCTTAGAAGGGTGTACAAGGGTTTTGTACACCCTTAGAAGGGAGTACAAGGGTTTTGTACACCCTTAGAAGGGTGTACAAGACCCTTTTTTGTACAAATTAGGTTTTTTAGCCATAATTAGTAATAATTATGGCTAAATTATGGCTAAAAATTAATTATGGCTAAAATTAATTATGGCTAAAATTAATTATGGCTAAAATTAATTATGGCTAAAATTAATTATGGCTAAAATTAATTATGGCTAAAATTAATTATGGCTAAAATTAATTATGGCTAAAATTAATTATGGCTAAAAACCCCAATTTGTAATATGTCTGCTTGATGGCACACTTCAGAAACAGCCATAAAACTAGAGAACTATCGGGTCAATATCCTCACCAGGCCTCTTCTAGGCCTCTTCTAGGCCTCTTCTAGGTCTCTTCTAGGTCTCTTCTAGACCTATACTGAAGTAGATTACAAACTCTACACGTCCTAAGTTCATGTGGTAATGACTGTATAACTTTCCTATGGTAAATGTTTGTACTTCAGTAGCTTTTTGTAGTCACACTGTATTATAGAACCTTCCAGCGAGTACACATTGTATTATAGAACCTTCCAGCGAGTACACATTGTATTCAACGAACTGTTTCTTTACAGCTGTAATGTGGCGCGATATTTCTGGATTTTTATTTAAAATACATCGCTGTCTATTGTATTTCTATTGTATTCTCATGTTATAAAAAGAATTTTGGTGCTATTATTTAGTTTTTTTAATTTGTGTCCAACAAAGGGTTAAAGTTCATTTATATATGTTTCATTGCATATGATGTATATTCTGTATTGATTATTTTCCTGTTTAGGGCTTCTATACCTCTCAAGAACTATTTTATTTAAATTTACTTCTAAGCTGTATCACTTATGAACCATCCCTGCCCTTGTGTGGCAGTGCACAGTAGAAAGTTGTTTTCACATATCCATACATTAAAACATTGATTGTAACCATGATATATGTGTGCTCCAGCCTACAGTTTAGACCTATTGTCTTATGTATGACCCTCTGTCCTGTGTGGCAGTGCACAGAAGAAAGTTGTTTTCACATATCCATGCATTAAAACATTGATTGTAACCATGATATATATGTGCTCCAGCCTACAGTTTAGACCTATTGTCTTGTGTATGACCCTCTGTCCTGTGTGGCAGTGAATACCACCATTATCCTCACTTTAATAAGACTATCAAAATGCTCAGATTAGGCAAAATTGTAATTAATTTTGTCAATAAAGATGTTAATAATAATAATTTGACTAGTGTTCTAGAATCTTGATTTAATTGGAAGACGAGTTCTCCAAAAGTCATCTTCGTTCGAGGTGAAGAAAAAGATTACAAATTGTTGAAGAAAAAATAACTATAAAAATATTTTCAATATAAAATAATATAAAATATATTAAAAAAAATAGAGCAACCTACTATAAATATGCAAATTACGGAACTATTCACTCTACACTCTGGCTGTTACCTAGCAGTAAAATAGGTACCTGGGTGTTAGTCAGCTGTCACGGGCTGCTTCCTGGGGGTGGAGGCCTGGTCGAGGACCGGGCCGCGGGGACACTAAAGAAGCCCCGAAATCATCTCAAGATAACCTCAAGATTACCCACCATGAGAGTAAGAACAAGACTGGAACATGAACATGCCAACATAGAAGACACTGCCCAACATGCTTCGCCAACTACACCTAATTAATCTTTGTATGTGCTTCATCCCCTATTTTCCCCTTTTCTTTAACTCCTTACCTTTTTCCTTTATTCTTGTCCCATTTGTATAGGTCCACTTGTCTTCACCTGACTCGTTATTGGTATAAATCTAGCACGCCTTGTCTTTTCACTTGAGAATGAACCATGTAGGTTCGAAACGTTGTGTAAATTTTATAATAAGTGCAATACATTCTACAGTTATTTATTTCTTTTCCTTCACCTCGAACGAAGATGACTTTGGAGAACTTCTCTTCCAATTAAACCAAGATGCTAGAGGACTAGCCAGAGAGATAGAAGACCTAGACAAGAAAATAATCAATGCAGAATAATGCACTCATATTGAATGAAATATTATATATATATATATATATATATATATATATATATATATATATATATATATATATATATATATATATATATATATATATATATTTCAGAGAACATAACATTTTATTTTTTTGTATAAAATAAAAACATTTTCTTAAATTGAGTTTTATAAAAAATCTTCTAATATATTATTGTGTATATGAGGAAATATATGAAACTTATTAATCACACTAGAATTATTTATGCCTTCTGTTGGAGACCATATGGATAATTTGGAGCCCGTCCTTAGGCCTAAGTGAGTGGACAGCCTACACCTCCCCCCCCCCCAATTATATCACCTGGGTACTTATCTAGAAATTTATGCTGCTCAGAAAAGTTTATTATAAAGTTCTAGCAATAGTCTAGTGATAAGTGAAGCTTTGTCGTTAACAGAGATTATTTACAAGTTATATATATATATATATATATATATATATATATATATATATATATATATATATATACATTATATATATATATATATATATATATATATATATATATATATATATATATATATATATATATATATATATATTAGTGATAAAATTACATGTTATTTACCCTTTCCCACCCCCCCCCTGGCCCAACCACTTGAGCTGAACGGTAGAGCGACGGTCTCGCTTCATGCAGGTCGGCGTTCAATCCCCGACCGTCCACAAGTGGTTGGGCACCATTCCTTCCCTGCCCCCCGTTCCATCCCAAATCCTTATCCTGACCCCTTCCAAGTGCTATATAGTTATAATGGCTTGGCGCTTTCCTCCTGATAATTCCCTCCCCCCTCCCTCAGTCCAACATCTCTAGGCTGAGGAAAACATATTGAATCAAATAAGTTTAAAAGATAAGGAGGATGATAAGACAAGGATTATCACCAGGTGTAATCTGGAACAAGTGTAAATAATAACATTAATTTGAGTAACACAGAGTAATTAAGGTGTTTGTGAACCTGAATACTCCAGCGTAGAGTTACGAGGTAACGTTATAACGTTATAACGTTATAACGTTATAACGTAACGTTATAACGAGGACTTTAAACGAGACCGCTCGCCCTGGAAACACAAACCGAAACTGTCTCTATTTTCCGCTTGTTACAACTTGTAATAAAGTTGTTACATCTTGGCTTAACGTGTTTATGACGTATTCGAACGTTGTTACAACTTGCTATATTGGTTGTTATAACTTGATAGGTGTTAAAAATTGTTCCAACGTTGTACCAACCTTGTAGTTTCGGTGTGTTTGGCGGGTCGACACTAAAACAGCTATTGAAGTATTGCGCGGTATCGGTAATGTGACTCAAATCATCTATATATGTATTGCGCGGTATCGGTAATGTGACTCAAATCATCTATATATGTATTGCGCGGTATCGGTAATGTGACTCAAATCATCTATATATGTATTGCGCGGTATCGGTAATGTGACTCAAATCATCTATATATGTATTGCGCGGTCTAAGGGTTAATGTGATTCAAACACAGGTACGCCCTTACTGACACAAGCAGTAGCGTTTTAAACCAAGAAATCATCACGTATGATTATCGTAAATTATCCTCCAATCAAGGACTATCCACTGAAAGTATCTCAACATATCTTATATCACGTGTGTGTATCTCTGAGCGAGATAAGGATATAGCCTAAGAAGGAAAGTCAAAAGGAAAGGAAAATCCTCCTTCCCTCCTTTCTTACCCTTTCCTTACCGTGGGAAGGGGAGGAGGAGAATTCCTCATCTTCTTAATTACAGTTGGAGCCAGTCCTTCATCTATTCTGACCGGCACTATGTATCTAGATCCCTGCCAGCACTATGTATCTAGATCCCTGCCAGCACTATGTATCTAGATCCCTGCCAGCACTATGTATCTAGATCCCTGCCAGCACTATCTATCTAGATCCCTGCCAGCACTATCTATCTAGATCCCTGCCTGCACTATCTATCTAGATCCCTGCCAGCACTATCTATCTAGATCCCTGCCAGCACTATCTATCTAGATCCCTGCCAGCACTATCTATCTAGATCCCTGCCAGCACTATCTATCTAGATCCCTGCCTGCACTATCTATCTAGATCCCTGCCAGCACTATCTATCTAGATCCCTGCCAGCACTATCTATCTAGATCCCTGCCTGCACTATCTATCTAGATCCCTGCCAGCACTATCTATCTAGATCCCTGCCAGCACTATCTATCTAGATCCCTGCCTGCACTATCTATCTAGATCCCTGCCAGCACTATCTATCTAGATCCCTGCCAGCACTATCTATCTAGATCCCTGCCAGCACTATCTATCTAGATCCCTGCCTGCACTATCTATCTAGATCCCTGCCAGCACTATCTATCTAGATCCCTGCCAGCACTATCTATCTAGATCCCTGCCGGCACTATCTATCTAGATCCCTGCCGGCACTATCTATCTAAATCCCTGCCGGCACTATCTATCTAAATCCCTGCCGGCACTATCTATCTAGATCCCTGCCAGCACTATCTATCTAGATCCCTGCCTGCACTATCTAGATCCCTGCCTCCACACACACCCAGTACACAAGGAGTCAAGACACTAAGTGTCTACCTGTCCCCAACTTACACTAGTGAACAGAGACATTGTGTCTCAGGTAACCTTGTCCCCCAGACGGTCCTCCTCGACGGCCAAACTACCCAACTACCTAACCACCCAATATACCTTTACCTGACTTCGTCCAAGACGTGACTTCGTTATCCAACATTTCTTAAGTTGTGACTAATTAACAAACACAATATGACAGCGATGGGAACAAGAACATTGTGACGTACCTCAGAGATTGGTGGAGTTTTGTGCTTCCATCGTCAACATGAATTTTACCTGAAATGGCATGAAAAGGAGTTATTTATGTGCTTTAAAATCGTCACATATCACATGAATAATCATATTTTAATCTACATATGTAAGCGGCAAAGGTTAAGGTTACACTGGAGCATCGAGGCCCGAGGCCAGGCTTGACTTGTGAGAGTTTGGTCCACCAGGCTGTTGCTTGGAGCGGCCCGCAGGCCCACATATACCTGCTAGATGGGGTTCTAGGAGTTCTTCTACTCCCCAAGCCCGGCCCGAGGCCAGGCTTGACTTGTGAGAGTTTGGTCCACCAGGCTGTTGCTTGGAGCGGCCCGCAGGCCCACACTGGCCAACATCCGTGTATCTTTCTGGAATGAGGACAGTAAAGTACCAATGCACAAAAATGTAAACTAGTATATCCTTGAAAACTTATGAACAAGTTTACACCAGAAGCCAGTAGAACACATGGAGAGAAAGTAGTATTAAAGTATTTGAATAGGTGAGTACGCACTCATCAAGGTGAGTACACACTCATCAAGGTGAGTACACACTCATCAAGGTGAGTACACACTCATCAAGGTGAGTACACACTCATCAAGGTGAGTACACACTCATCAAGGTGAGTACACACGCACTCATCAAGGTGAGTACACACGCACTCATCAAGGTGAGTACACACACACTCATCAAGGTGAGTACACACACAAAAGAAGAGGGCCAGAAGACGCTGCCATAAAGCAAGAAATGTGACCTCTCTCCCAGGGACCCGTCAATACCTCAGGTCGCTTGTGGCCGACGTCTTGTCTCTCTCTCTCTCTCTCTCTCTCTCTCTCTCTCTCTCTCTCTCTCTCTCTCTCTCTCTCGTCCAAGATTTGAAGCCAGACGCTTAGGGCTAGACTCCAAAAACTTTGCAGAAGCAATAAATTCACTTTCAGGTCCCGGAGGCCCCAGAATCTCCCTAAGGTAATGCCCCAGAATGAGAGATAATTCCCCAGGATGAGGGGTAATT